GGTGGGGAGCTGATTAAAATCGTCGTCCAAAAATATAATGTAGACATTCTCTCCATCCAAATTGTCTTTTATATGAGTAACTCCGAGCAGTTCCTCACACAACTTTTCCCAGTCCCCATTTTCGGAACGGTCCTTAAGTTTTCTAGGGCTATTTCGGGGATCGATCCAACTAAATCTTGAGGAGAAGGTTGGGTTTTAAAATAAAACAAATAAATATTTTCGGAGTCACTATCGACCTTTGGGTTAGGTAGGCCGAATACCTAAAAATACCTTTTAAAATAATTTTAAGAAAAATAATTTTAAAATATAAAATTTGATATGCGTTTAACCAGAAATTCGTTTTGAAAAGGGTTCGAGAGTCGATGGAGAAGGATTAGCACCCCCACAACGCCCAAAATCGATACCTAAGTGATTATACGTGATCTAAATATTGAAATTGGAAAATTCGAATATACATTTAAATTATGATTCATTCTTAGAAAAATATAAAGGTTGTTATTTTGCATGAACAATTTTCGAAATACCTTCCTTGTCAGTTAAGGGGGCATTTTCATGGATTCCCCATAAAAATAATATTGCCCAAGTTTTTAGATAAAATACATATATTAAAACAAAAATTAATTCATTCGAATATAAAATGCATTATCTTGTTCGAACAATTCTTGGAAACACACTCCTTGTTAGTTAAGGCACGTTTCTATAAATTCCCCGAATAAAATAATATTTAAAAATATTACAACTAGTGAGTAATTAACAAATATATGAACGATGGATCCAAATAATAATGATAGTGACTTTAGGGATTAAAATATACAATCAACAAAAATAAAGGCAACCATTGCAAATATTTTTCAATCCAAGCACTACAATCGTAAATACACCAACTTTAATCATTTAAGACCAAAATGGAAATTATTAAAGTAAGGCACTCAAATTAAAATATATCTAAAAAATAAGACAACAAGTGAAATGGGACTAAAATGAAATAAAAATAAATACAATATCCAAATCATAAACCATCAGTGATTAGAATACATAAATTGAAAATATCATATCTAAATTATAATTAATAATAAACAGAATACAAACAGTGGCTAAAATGAATAAAAATAAAAAACTAGTGACAAAATTTGAATAAATCACAATAATAAAATGACTAAATTAAAGTAAGCACAAATTATAGCACAAAATTAATGAAATAAAATAAACAGAGGGTTAGTGACTGAAATGGAAAAACACGCATAAAGTAGAGGGAACTGGAAGAAAATAAACTGAAAAAGTTAGTGCTGAGAAATAAAAAGGTAAAATCACTAAATTAATCCCTAAGCATTTTAAAAAATTAAACGATTACTACACATGACCAAAATGTAAAACACGGCTAAAAGTATAGGGACCAAACATAAATTAAAACAAAAATATATAACATGCATCAGAAATGGGTAAATTATAAAAACGGTCCCTTCATATGACCATTTTGCAAAAATACGCCAAACTTAAGGGTCCTAAATGTAATTTCCTCAAACTTACGTCGCTTACCACTCGTCGGCCACCGTGCCTTCTCCGTTGCTGGTGGCCGTTGGCAACCAAATTTCACCTGGAGATCCGTCTCGGCCTCCCCGTCTCAGATCTAGGCTATGTTTCACCGGAGGATGCGTCGATCGTCGCAAAACAGCCGAAGATCGTTCGACTTTCCTCTCTTCGATTCGTTGCCGTCCGCGTTCCGATCGACCCGAGTCTTCAGTATGTTGCTCGCCAGATCTCCTTCTCCGTTTTGACCATTCAAATTATCAAACATGTTCCCTAACGTCGGCGTGGTGCTCTACCGAATGGTAAAAAACATTGCTTGTATCGAAATAGAAAAAAATTTAGGAAAAATTGCTTGAACTCTTTTTTATTTATTTTTTCCTCTGAAAATTGACAAGGGGAAAGGACTTTTACATTGTTTTGTTCGAATTGGGAGTCCCTTCCCTTGTTCTCTCCTCTCTCTTTTTCAATCGAGACCCCTGATTTTTCCTCCCCTCTCTTTATATTATTTTTGGTTTCCAATCAACCCCCATTAAAATATGTTTTTTATTGCTTTATATCCCATTACAAAGAATAAAAAAACAAAATTTTCTGTTAATTATTGCATGGAGCAGTGGTCCTGGCGTGCTGCGTGGAGCTTGTTGATGGCGTAATCGGTTAGTGCTGGCAGAATATGGGGCTACAGTGATGGCAGGCGTGGAATTGCAGGCACAATGTCTTCACGTAGGAGATCAAATCGGGTCCGGATCGGATTATAATCGGGTCGTTTTGCTTTGTGATTTGGGCTCAGTGGGCCCGTGGCATGCAAAGGTAAAAAACATTAATAATAATAATAATAATAATAATAATAATAATAATAATAATAATAATAATAACAACGTGTATCCGGGCTAAAACGGGTGTCGACACCCATGAGCCATACCGGTAATAGGATTTCCATCAATAGGCAACCCAAGATGGTATGCAACATCTTCAGGGTAATAGTCGCCTTCCCACAAGGAAAATAAAATGTGTGCGTCTCCGGTCTCCATCGTTCAATCAACGCGTTTATCAATGGAGGGTGCAACTTCGTACCACCAGTTACGGTGCCAATGTAACCAAAACCGACTTCGTGCAAGTATGAAATAATATCGTCATTAGGGGATGAGAAAAGGTTGATAAAACTCATCAACAAACGTTTATATCCCTTCACATAAATAAATAAATAAATAAATAAATAAATAAATAATTTTGAAATAAACAAATAAATAAATTCAAAATAACTAAATAAACAAACAAATAAATTCGAAATAAATAAATAAATTCAAGTTGAATAAATAAATAAATCCAAAATAAATAAATAAAAAATAAATATATAAATATATAAATTCAAAATAAATAAATAAATACAAAAAATAAAATAAAAATTACCGCCAAATTTTCCCTCCAATAGGTGTATACATGCGAAAGATCAACCCTTAGTAGTCCCGCCATAATAATAATATGAGAAAGAATATATAAGATAGTTTTTTCTAATGAAGGTGTGAGGAATTTGGGTAGATGGAGCCCTATTTATAGTGGTCATTGCACTCTCCCCGATGCGAAGGGAAAAATGTACATCGTGTTATACAAAGCGCAAACTACAAAGAATCTTTTCAAATTTTAAATCTCGAAACTTCTGCGATCGATAATTTTCTAATATCTCGAATACCTCGCATTCTGAAAAACGCGAGATACTAAATAATCATATTAAATTGGATAATCTGAAAAGTGCACAATACCTTGCATCCTATGAAATACGAGATACGTTCTTGTGTTAGATAGGATGCGATGTAATCCTACGTATACAATTTGGGTTTTTTTTTAACAAATCTACTAAGGGGTTACTGTTTAAAAGAATAATTAATGGGGTTTTTAATATAATATTGCGTATTCATGTAGTCGTAAAATTATCCTGGTATCTGTCAAAATCCTTTTATAAATCCATTTTGAATCCTCTTTGAATCAAATTCTCTTTGGATTGTAGCCTTAAAACTCCCCGAAAACTTATCTACACCTCTGGAGTAAATCGGTCGAAATTTAGATTATGTCAACCTTTATTCAACGAGTATGGGCTTAGAGATGAACATCAGTTCGATTAATAACCATTCAATATTAGATTAGTACCAGTGCCAATTCTGATTCCTTCATAAACTTTGATGATTACCTCTACTTCTAAAATCATCACTTAGAACCCACAGTTGTCAACTGAAAATTGCCATACTATAGCGAGATCACAGCATTTCTTTTGTTGTGGATCTTGGAAGCATAAAAATGTATCAACATCTTCAAAAGCAGTCCGAGATAAAGAAGGTTATTACTAAATTCATCTTCAACTGAATATCGGGATTGAGTGAATCACTATGGATTTTGTTACTAGCTTGTATTATAAGGAAAAATGACTATTTTGGGTAATCATTGATCGTTTAATCAATTTTGTCCACTTCATTTCAATATACACTGATCCTAGTCTTTTAAAGATTAGTCAAACTTTATTTTTAGGAGATTGTTCGACTTCGATGTCCTAATATCCACCATCCCTGATCAAGATCTGTGATTTACGTCTCGAACTTGAAATTCATTGCAAGAAGCCATATGAACCCAAGTTAACCTGACACCCACTGTTTCATTCTATACTAAAGAAATCACTATTGGTATGAACTTGACGAAAACAAATCACTATTCGTAAAACTAAAGAAAAAGTTGAAGACTCATTTGAAAACTACCTTTGATAGGCATAAGACCTACAATAACATCAAACATAAGGAGATTGGATACCAAAAGAGTGAAACTATTTCTAAAAGTCCCCCCTTTGAAGAATATTCTCCGATTGAGCAAGTAAAAAAACAAATTGAGTCCCTAATTTATCAGTCCTTATGAAATTCCAGAACCAATTATCAAGTCCACAATGCTTTCACATTGAATCCTTACCATGTCATTCGACCAGAATCTATCAAAATCTACCTTGATTAAGCTACAAGGAAGAATATGTCCAATTTAGGCTTGTGAGGTAAAAGAGCTACGAAATCATAAAACTAAGAAGTAACCTGAGGACCTAAGAGTCCACTAAAAGAATAATACCCTCAATTTTTTCATCTCAAGCTAAATTTTGAATGGATTTTCTAAAGGGAGGGAGTTGCAGCATATCTAATTTCGGTACTCAAAATTATTAAGTAGAAAATTGAAATTAATTATTTTAGTAATGTTATGAAAGCATATGATCTAAAAATCCCAAAATCTATAAGCCTAACAAATAGCCTCAGTGGTTAAAAAGAGTGTTGTTCTCCCTAGATGCATTAAATTTGAGCAGTTGCGTCTACAGGGCATATTTTCGTTGTCAATGGTCGGAAAAAAAATTCTAAGCAGATACTACCTTATAATCATCTAGACTGTTCACAGAAATTTCCTAGAAATATAAACCACATCAATGGCAAGCACGATGAACTGAACCTCCACCATAATAGCTAATGAATCCCAGCATAAAACTTTCAGTTCAAGAAATCTTTATACCAATACAAGGCATGAACATGATCACAGAGTAGGGGATCATCTGTAGAAAGTGATGCAATAGATACCGAGAAATTAATACAGTCATCGGATGGCTATACAACTTGTATTCATCTGATTGTAAGGGACCAATGAATATACCTTATGGTCACAATGATTTATGAGTGTTTTCAGTTTTTTCAGTTGCTGAGGTAAAAGTAACTGGCTTCGCTGGATGGTCCCTAACAATCAAACTAAGCACTTCTGGTCTTGAATAATGACCTACCACATCGAAATCGAATTTTGCCCGTGCTATTTCTCCCATATCTGCAAGTCATTTGATCATACATATATCATTCATTTCAGTCGGTAATCAATAAAGAAAGTTAATTTCAAAGTTCGCACACCGAATCGAAACTATTGGAGACAAAACGTGTAAAGGAAATAATCATAGTAAACAATAATCCCCCGCCTAAAAGAACTTGAACAGGCAAACAAAGAGAGAGAAACAGATGCAGACACAAAAATGGAGGCATGGTACCATGGTCCAAACCAATCTACTAGATCTCACACTTTTGTCCACAAGAAACATCTAACAGGTTAATACATGGTTATGTATGCTTGAATCCTGGGTCAAACTTTTTGTTTTTATGGTTTCCTTCTAGGACCATGACAAATGTTACAATTCAACTAACTCGCAACGTATTGTTTAGCTCGGCACATTGAACCTTATGGTTCAGAGTTCAATCCCAAGTGAAATAGCACCTTGAACTATTTAGACATTTCTCTAATGCATTGTCCAGAAACAACCAATTGCATTCAATCCAGCAATGTTGGCCAAGTTAGAAAAGTTGAGTAGGTAGATATTAAATCATGGAATACGGTACATACCTAGATCTGCCGATATAAGTGCCTCCCCGTCGTAATTGGGTCCAGCCAGAATAGCTCCAGATGGTGATATAATGACACTTCCACCGCCACAGACGATGGAATCTGGAGTGAGTTCCTCTTCTGTCCAGGAAAACAGATACTCTGGAGGAGGTGGGTAGTCTTTCCTCCGACAGAATTGGTTGGCTGACAAAACAAAACAGCCGCCTTCAAGAGCGATATGGGTCATTGATGCTTGCCACACATCCCTGGAATCAGCAGTAGGTGCACAATATATTTCAATACCTGCAATCCAATGTAAACGATCAAAACATAAAAAATGCTAAATAGCTTTAAAACTTTGTGGGTTGACAATTCTTTGACGTTGAATAAGGCTAACATGATCAATTATCTACTATCCTCAAACCGGCACAAATGCATTCAGCAAATGTTATGCCTGCTTACACTGATGACATTAAACTGGAATACAATCATACACAACTATACCACATAAGAGGAAATAGAACACGATATAAGTCATACAACAAACATTGCATAAAAAAAAGAATACCACAAAATCTATATAAGACTAATTATTAGTATATCAAAATTTATAGAAGTAAACTACTTAATGAAAACATACACAAATTTTTCTATTGCTAGCATTAGCATAAACGATATGGTGTTCCACAATTTCAAGTTTAATCCGACCAGTATCACTTTTCATTCTAGCTTGTTTTGAACCACCGTTCATTTAATAAAAAGTTCATCCAAATTCAATCATGAAATATAAAGCATTTTTCAAAAAGAATTAAACAATGAAATGCATTTCCAAGCAAAATAATAATAATAATTTTTTTCTAGTCTAACTTGGCCCCTACTTGCAATCAAAATAACATTACGTAATGCAATAAGTACTTTCAGCATTAAAATGTAAGCGAACGGTCCAAAAGTTCAAACCTTTTGCATACATTGCTGTTCTTAGAAGTGGCATTCTATTTTCCCAACAAATGGCTGCGCCAATTTTCCCAATCAGAGTATCGAAAACTGGAATTGTGGATCCATCGCCAAACCCCCAAATTATACGCTCCATTGCAGTTGGCATAATCTTCCGGTGCTTCCCCAAGAACCGGCCTAGGGAATCGAAAAACACGACCGTACAATATAGAGTATATCCATCTCTCTCTATCACACCCATCACCAAGTAAACCTTATACTTTCCAGCCATGACCGCCAAACGCTCAATTTCAGGACCTGCAACAATTAGCACTAGCCATTAATGTGAAATAAGACTAGTAACATCAACTTTGGATCATAAATTATAAGTTTAAGCTACAATAGTATCTTAAGAATCAAAATTTACCTCCATTGTTTGACATAATATCAAAATATTACTTACGGTTTGATTAAATATTCACTAATAGAGCATTTTTATCTTCAAAATTTTATTTTAGAACAAATAATTTCCTAACATTTGACTAATAGTTACTTTCATCTTTATTTTTTTTAGTAGAAGTCGGTATCCCTTGTTGAGTCACTATTAAAAATTATAAAATAATATTTTAAATATAAGATGTTATTTTATAAAATCTCGGCCACTAAAAATTACAGAAAAATCCCATACTATAAAACACTAACTTGAATATAATAGTTATTTAAAATTCAAAAATTAAATTTTATCTTATTGATACCAAGTTTATATCCAGCTCAAACCATGTCAGTATTTTTAATAAAAAAAATAAATTTAAAAAACATAAATAATTAACTACTTTTTTTATAACTTATAATAATTAAATAACTTAACAAAATAATATCTTATAATTTATAACCATTTAATAATATCATAATCAAGCATTTGTCTATTTCACCCTATTTTTTAAAGAACTTTTTAGAAGCTATTTTCATCCACGAAAGAGACTTCTCACCCAAAAAATGAATTTTTTTTAAAATACTATTAATTAAAGTGATTATTTAATCAAATATTAAAAATGTTATATTTTTTAATTATTTTTTCAAAAAAAAAAACCCAAAATTTGTTATCTTCCGGTATCTGAAAAATTTATCAGAAACAATTTTTTTAAATGAAGTGTTTGATGAAATTCAAACCAGGAATATCAACGGCAGAATCATGGTATTTCCGGAAGTCTTCCTTCCCTTTAGCGGTGCGGTTCCCGATGGTAACGCCGAAATTAGAGCCTCGAGGATATCCGCCGATAAAAGCTTCAGGGAACACCACTAGCTGAGACCCATAGCCGGCGGCTTCAGCCAACAACCTCTCGGCTTTGTCTAAAGTAGCAGGGGTGTCATAGAAAACGGTTGAGGCTTGGACCACGGTTGCTCGGACGGTTGGGGCGGAGGCGTCGCCACCCATGTCGACCTCGGCGAAGATCGGTCCGTCGGGTTGTGGAGCGGGGACTAGTGACATACTGGGATTTGAGTTGTCGTTTTGAATGCTTGCCAGTGGAGAAGTTTGCTTGAGGACAATGAACAAGTGTTTCAAAACTTAATGCAAGTTATGGGTGACCAGAGATTTATAGACTGCTAACAAGTTTCACTGTATCATTTTTTAGATTAAACTACGTAAATGATCACTGATATTTGAGTAAATTTTATTTTCACCACAGATGTTTCAAAAGCCATAAATTAATCACTAACGTTATTATTTGTTACAAATTAGTCACTCGATGTTAACAACGGTTAACAGGCGTGACGAAAAACATAATTGAACCATTATCTGCTTACTTGGATTGCCACAGTGGAGAGTTGAATGTCTCCTACGATTGTTTCTTCCTTGTTATATAAAAACTCAATCTCTAACCCTAATTTACGCCAATCATATATTTATTTCAGTATGAAGCTTCTTTGGAAAGCTTGTTTCAACGCCAAAGAAGTTGATGACATCGGCAATGATCATGGAGTCCCTGCAATTTCGGGTTTTAGCCGACGACGGCCATGTTTAAGTTTAGCTGATGCTCATGACATTGTCAATAATTGTGGGTTCTTTTTTGAGTAATTTTTCGGTCACAATTACACGGATCTTACAAGTTTCCATCTTTTTCTACACTGTGTTCCTTTATTTTCCATTAAGTTAAATGGCATATCGGCTTGTCCTAGGTTTATTTTCTTTATTTGTCCGCTATATAATTGCAATGTTGATGAATGCTCTTTCACGGAGTCTTTCATCTTCACTTTAGCTAGGTTTTTTCTTAGGAATTTATTGAGAAATTTTAAATAAAAGAGAATATGAATGAAAACGGGTAAATTAGGGTTAGGATTGAGTTTTTATTTAAAGGGAAAGAGGTGATTGTTAGAGACATTTGACTCTCCATGGTGGCAATCTAGGTAAGCGGATAATAGTCCGGTTGTGTTTTCTGTCATGTCTGCTAACGACTGTTAATATTGAGTGACCAACCTGTAATAAAAAAAAACATTAATAACCGATTTGTAACTTTTGAAACATTAGTGGTAAAAATAAAAATTTACTCAAATATTAATTATTATTTGAGTAGTTTACTCTTTGTTATTATTTTCAAATATTTTTCTCATATGAGTGAAGGTTGCCAAAACCAAATCGTAATACTTTGTGGTCATCAAATTCTATCATAAAAGGGGGGGGGGGGGAATGTCATAAATAGTAATTTAAAAACCGCCCCAATGAACTTGACATTATCCCAGTACGAATCACCGTTTTAAAAAGAAACGATAGAGGTAAAAAAATAAATAATTTAAATCAAGAATCAATTGATAGTAAGATAAAAGATTCTTGGGTTACCTATATGATTTTTCTAAATACATAATATATAGTCACTTTCATTTTTATTTAATTAAGATATGATCACCACAAGTTAATTGATGTTAAATATTTTAATATAATCATACATTTGGTTCATGTTATTTACATATTCTCTTAATTTAATTTTATTTTTAATGAATAAAAAGAAAATAAATCCCCTAATCAAATAATGTCATGCGTGTCAATGGTTGGTACATGTTTGGTTTCCCAAGTGACACAAGTTTGAATTCCTTTGACTCTAATTTGTTTTGCTTTGTTTTCCTTTAGACAGATGGTGACACGTGTGATAAACTGATCGGTGAAAAATAAATATATTAAATTAAAATAAAGTTAATTCTCCAACCGAATGGTGCGTGTGACACAACACGTGAAATCATTTAATTAAAGGATTAATTTATTTTAATTTATTAAAAATAAAACTAAATCGAGAGATTATGTAAATATCAAGATCAAATGTGTGATTATATCAAAATATCATATCACCTAATCTATTAAATGAAAACGAAAGTGACCATATATTATGTTTTTTTAAATCAATGAGGAGCAGTGGACAAAACATTAACATAAGCGATCAATCATGTTGTTAACCCTAGATTCTTTAGGTAAGGTTAAGTGTTTAAATTATAATTATTGTAAACGAAGTAAACTGTGTTGAAAGTGTCTTCTCATAATAGATTTTTGTAAAACTCAATATGGATTAAACAATCAATAGATTAGATATAAATGGTTAATTCAAAATTTATAATAATATATATTAGAGATATAAATAGTATTTTAATTGAGTTATTACTTAAATTTTTATAATTAAATTATTTTATAAAATTAAAACTCTAACTTAAAAAGAAATTTTAAAATAAAAATTTAATTAAAAAAATAAAGAGAAACATTATTATAATTATTTCTAAATATATAATGGATAATTATATTGTTATCTCATATTAAGTAAAAAATTTCTCACCATAAATCTAAATTCAACATGATATTCTAAAAAATCCGAGATTACTTTACCCAAATTCATTTTCTTTAAAAGAAAATTGTGATCCTAAAACGTTAATCGAATAGAAATCTATCAAGTTCAAGTCTCACATCCAACCCTAACTGTATCCAGATTATGAAAATTAAATCTTTGCTCTTGTAGCATATTTTTTTTCATTTTTTTTCATTTTGTCGTATAAAACTTTGTTTATTATGGCGGAAATAAGAAAACAACATGTCACACTAGCGATTGACGATAGAGAAGATAACTTTACAACTAACGATTGATGATAGATAAATTTTGTGGGTTCATTAATTGAGTATGACATATTCATAATATATTTGGAATATAAAATAACCACGAGAGTACATATTCACTTGGATGCTAGAACGCCCCTCAAGCTATATAAAATGTGTCACCAGCTTGGATGGAGAAATCAGGGCTTTCCAGAGATGATATGAAATTGGGGATTGGAGAAATTGGAAAAAGACAAAAGAGCTTTAATAAAATGTTATCAAAATGACATCATGGGAGAAATTGCAACGACAACGTTTTGAAAAGGGTAAAAAAGAAGAAGAGAAGTGGGCTTATGAAAATGCCTGGAACTAAGGAACAGGATGGAGGAGACCCATCGACGCTTAAGGAGAAAACCACTTAGCCAAGGGATCTACAGGTAACAGACAGTTTGTTAGAAATTACAGCTGGCAGTAACCACTTGGTACCTTGTATGGCACAAAAGAGAAATCTATGGATGTACTGAGTGTCTATTAAAAATTAATGCAATTTTTTCTGAATTCATTTCACCCTTTCATTTATTCTAAACCCCCTTCTATCTTTAAGCATAACAATTGGTAATCAGAGGTCGACTGATTGATCTAAAAAAAATATTTTTTTCCTTTCAAACTGGGTAAGACTAAGAAGATACAGAAGATGGGAAACCAGATCAAGCGAATCACAGGAGCCAAGGGCTGAGCTTACTGATGAGGCCATTCCAAAGTGGTGGGAAGCTCAACAAGCTAAGCGGGAAGATCGTTTTTCCTCGTTGAAGGCTAGTTCGACATAAACAAGATGCTACCTTCAGAGGATCCTCCAGTTAATAGCCAAGAGTGCTGAGGACGTTGAACTGATTACTCCTAGGAGTCACCCAAAAACTACAGACCAGCTGAAAGGTAAGTGTGACGATAACTTACCTGCTGAAATTAATGTGCTTAATGAACATGAAAAGCACTCTTTTAAGCCTATGGAACCAGGCCTTTTTGGCCTGTAAACCTCAATCTTTTGGTACTACTGCTAATCAATCTTTGACCGCAAACTTGGGGGGGGGGTGGTGGTGGTGATGCACAACAGTGTAGTGTGGATAAGGATAATGGCAGTCATCACACTAATGTTTATGTTCCTCGACAGCGAATAGAACTTCAATTTTTTGATGGTACGAACCCTCGCAATTAAATTAAAAAAGTATCATAACTACTTCAATATTTTTGTTGTTCATGAACACCAAAAGATAAAGGTTGCAACTATGTATTTGTCTGGGAAGGAAGAAGATTGGTTTGATGATTATGTCATGCAGAAGAACAAGATTACTCGCCATGAATTTGTAGAGGATTTATGTAATCGATTTTGTGATCGAGAACAAATGGATGTGATTGATGAATTGAATAAATTGACAGAGAAGACTTTAGTGGAGGATTGTCAAGCAAGATTTCAGGAGCTTCAACCCTTTATGTTGCAAGTTCATCCTGACTTTAGTGAGGGGCATTTTGTTTCTAGTTTTATTAGTGGGTTAAAAACCGAGCTCAAGCACAAAGTGAAAGTCTCCTTGAACCAAGGACAATGGCTGAGTTTTGTAGAAAGGCTAAACGGTATGAACTTTCGCTGGAGGTGGAAGGTATGAGGACAAGGACTTCCTATAAACCAACTACATTTACAATCAAAGACCTACTGCAACCCAGAGTACTGCAAAGCAAACTGGTAAACTATCAACGACAACATAGCTTTTGTTTTAAATGTGGTGACAAATTTCAACCTGGTCACCGGTGTAAATAGAAACAATTGAATTCGATGGAGGAAGATGACAGGTTGGAGATCAGAGAGGAGATAGTACAAGACATTGATGGGTTACATGACTCTATTCCTGCTGGCAGTGACATGCCTGAGGAAACCATAGAAATTTCAACAAATGCATTGCAAGTAATCACTGGCCATAGCACAACCAGAATTCAAGGAACAATTGGACCAAATCATTGAATATATTGATTGACAGTGGCAACAGACACAATTTTGTTACACCTTCATGGGCTAAGGAAGGTACTGAGGTGGTTCAAACTGCTCCTTTAGTAATTACAGTATCTAATGGGGCGAGATTACAAAGCACAACAAGAACTGATCAATTGAAATGGTGCATGCAAGGTCATTTTTTCGAACATGATTTCAGTGTTTTGCAAATGGGGGAGTAACATGGTCTTAGGAGTTGATTGGTTAACAAGATATTTCCCAATTCTCATGGATTTTCGAGCTAAGATATTACAATTTAAGAAGGAAGACAAGGATATTATTTTGCAAGAGAGCCAAAGAAACCCTATGATCAAGCTTATTTTGGTTGAAAAAATGCAGAAGCTTACTACTAAACGTCCTGATGCTATTTTGAGTTCTATTGGCTGAATGTTGATGTGCCCTCGTTTGAAGTACTAGCCGTTCTTCAATCTCTTCTTGATGAATA